TTAGACATAGTCATAATAAGTTTTAAACTAGTTTACGTTGGTAATAATAGTTTTAAAGAAATAAAATTTTACCGATTTTCGATAAGAAAAGTTTTTTAAATTTCATGTGACATCTCTAACTCGTGTTCGATAACGGATACGGAAAGGGATGTTCCAGAGTATCATGGTTAACCCCTAATTATTTTCATTCCCCCATTTCAACCGTTTTTTATTTTCGAAGTTCCATCGGAGCATTTTTCCATTTGAATTTGTTTCAGATACAAATTTTAATTTGAAATTAAAATTATAAATATTGTAATTTATAAAAAGTAATAATAAAATATATAACTTTTGTTATTAATTTAATAAACGGGCCTAAATTTTTTGGGGTGGCTTAGATAATGGTGAGTAAAACTCGACTCGACTTGAAAAAATGCTTTTTTTTTTCAATTTTGAGTTATTTGAGCCGAGTTATTCGAGTCAACTTGAATTAACAATCTGGTTTTCTAGCTCGAGTCGAGTTGAAATTTTAAAATTAGTTACTAGAAAAACTAAAAATTTGACCAAGTGTTTTGACAGTTTTACAATTTAGTCCATGATTTCATTATTCATTCAATTTTCCTTAATTTTAAGTCCATTTTTACCAAATTTAAACCATGTTCTCCTAAACCATCGTAGAATATATACGTACTTTCAATTCCTCTTTTTGATAAAAAAATTATTTTTCAATTTAGTCCCTTAATTTTTCATAATTTCTTTATTTCTTCAATTCATGATTTATTTTAAGTTCGTTTTTACCAAATTTGAACCACATGCTCATATACCATAGTAGAATACCTTTGTAATTTCAATTCTTACTTTTTCACTAAAAATATACTCTCTTTTTTATTTATTTAATTCCTTAACTTGACATTTTACTCAATTTGGTCTTTTGACTACAATTGTTTGTAAATTCTTTCGTCCCATCAATTCCTTGATCCTTTTTACTCTCATTAATGTTTTACTCTCAAAATACTTTCTTTAAAATATAATATTATGAATATATTTATAATTTATATTGTATTTGATATATTAAATAACGTTAAAATGTGAAAAGAATATAAAATATATAGAAACTCAAATCAATCGACTCGAATAACTTGACTCAAACTTCTTAAACTTGACCTGACTTGAAAAAATTTCAAGTCAAGTTCAAGTTGTAAAATACGACTCGTTAATTCGAATAACTCGAAATTTTTTGACTCGACTCGATCGAACGCTTACCCCAGCTTAGATGGGCTTCAGGTGATATGTGATGTTTTTGGAAAAGAATCACATTATAATAATAAATTGTACTATGAAATATTAAATAAATTAATTATGTAATACAAACATATGTAACATAATTAAAATACAATATCATAATTAAAATATATAAAGTATTAATAAAATAATATATTAAAAAAGCATAAACTTCACTTAAAAATACATTAATAACATAAACCGAGTTTTAATTTATAAAAAATCATATAAATTAAAAAAAATCAGAAATATTACATTAAACAAATAAAATGATAGTAAATTTTAAAAAATGCACATGGTGCCCTAGTCTATAAATCAGGTGTTCATCTTGTTCCTATAATTCACTCCTAGTTAGTAGTTACCAATCATTTAAGCAATATTATTAATAAAGAGAGCAAAATGTCATTCGGGAATGCTAAAGGACACTTTTATACGGTACATTAAAGTATTTTCTTTTTATATAGTTACATTAAAGTGTACATTTTAATCCCTTTGTGTAATGTGGCTTATGTCTATTTTTTATCCACTTTTAATTTTTGGTAAAAAAAATCATTCGTTTTTGTATTTCATACAAATTAATTTTAATTTTCATATTTTTAAAATTTTAAAGTTTTAATCTAATTTGACATTGTATAGATAATACGATTAAATTATAGTCAAATTTTTTATAATTTAATCATATTATCTATGTATTATTTAAACCAAACTGAAATCTTAAAATTAAAAAGAAATATAAATTCAAATATTAAATTTAAAACTTATGCTAATCATTATTCGCTGAACTACTAAAGTTCACTGAATTAATCACCGCCATAATGGATAAGGGAATTGACAAAAAACTAGAGGGTGAATTGTACTAAATGTCATTGAATTTTATACATTATATCACTTATTTAATTATATTTTAATTACTTCAATTATAATATTAAATTTTAATTTTTAATTATATAGTTGGATGATTAATTGATAACGACACGATAACATGATGACATTTGCTAATGTAAATATTCTAACAAAAATTATCATTTCGGTGTGACTATTTTAATATTCAAAACGACATTCTTTTGTTAGAGGGAAATCGAGAAATATATCAAATGCATTTAAAGAGATTTGAACAAATAATTATTAGATAAAAAGTTTAACATCTAAACGCTAAGCCAACTTAAATTCTAATTATAATTTTGACAAAATAGTTTTATAATATATTACAATGATATTAATTAATTTATTTAATAATATAACTTTATAACTAATATATATAATTATTTTTAAAAATATAATTATTTTTAATATGAAAATATTAATTTTATTTATTAATTTTGTACATATAATTTGAGTTTGTTTGGTTTCTTTCACATCTTTTTTTTATTTTCTATTTTTTTGTGCACTTGTATATTAGATATTCAAGAAATTATAGTTTGTTAAGCTAAGTTTTGATTGAATGTAATTTAAGAAATTTGTTTCGATTAAATATTGTAAATTATATATTAAACAAATCAAATTGTTTTAACATATATATTATTTTGGTTAAAATTATAAGATCATAAGTTGGTCAAATTATTAGTAGTTAGGCTTTTTTTTTCTCTTTCTAAGTATCATTTGGTTCAAAACTCTTCATTTGATTCTTTTTCTTCATTTTCATCATTTTGATAATCAAAACGAAAGCTATGTGATTTGAAAAAAGGATATGATTGTTTTGACTGGTTGAATTTGTAATGAACTGGAGAAGCCGGGCAAGCGAGGTGGTAGATCTGGTCAACTTCCAGTAACAGAGACTCGACGACTTCCTGTCGGAATCTGCTCCGCCCGTCGCGACGATTCTCAAACCTTTCCATTTTAGATCCAACGGAATCTTGCTCGCCGGGTTTGAAGACCGGAAGCCAAGTCGGTTCGAGTGGGAGAATTTGTTCTGGGTTTCGAAAAGGAAGTAAGAGATGAAATCAGGGATCAAGTCGATAAAGTGGTGGTGAGGAACAAGGCCGGCTCTAAGAGGGAGCACCATGAACAACCGCTCAGGGCCCTAATTTTTTGTATTTATAATTAGGGCCCCAGTTTTTTATATTTATAATGAGGTCCCTAATTTCTATAATTTCATAAAATTTTAGTTTTTGATCCTTTTCTCTTATTAATTCATCCAATTTTAAATTAGATTTAACTAATTTTTTATATTATAATTAAGGTCTATACTTTTTGTAAGTTCATATAATGTTTAGTTTTTTACCCTTTTTTTTCCATTTTTCTTATTTATTCGTTTAATTTTAAATTAAATTTAATCGTATTTTTCTTTTTTCTTCAAATTTTACTATTCTATTTATCAAATATTCTTTAAGTTTTAGTTTTATTCATTCTCAATCTTTTCTAAATATGAGACCATCATGCACTTTCTTCATTCTTTTAACATCCATATTGTTTTCCATCTTTTCTAAATATGAGCAAACATGGTTATACAGAGCTGAAATGCCATATAAATTAGAAGACTATTGATCTCATGATCCTTTGGTGTGACAGAAAGCTCTCATGAAATTGTGGAACATTGCCTTTCCCAATGTTTTTCTAACAGACTTGATCTATGAACAGTAGAAAGAGATGGGGCAAGGTGTTAATCCATCAACCGATTTTCGGTACGCTTCTGTCATTTTCGTTTTACGACTTTTTAACTTGCTATCTGTACATAGAGGTATCTAGGAGACTCGAAAGGATGTGTAACAAATAGCATACCGTAATTTTATTTCTAAAATCAAACTTTATTTTGCATATTCTGAATTTGAGCTCAGTTTTAAGATGATCTTATGTTTCTTTTTTTACTTTTTTTTTCTGGATAAAGAATGTGGATCTTATGTTTCTTGTATTTATTCTTGTTTACAAGTATGGCAAAGCAGACCTTGAAACTCGAAGTTGATTACAATTCATTCAGTACTACAAATAGGAGTTGCATAACCTATTCAATTTGTTTTAAACTATAACTATTTCATTGAGCAAGCACCTATGAATTTATGAGGGATGACACTTTTGATGACATTCCAGACCATGATTATATTATGATTAACATCATTTGCCTAAGCAGTTTCATGCAACTCTCTGACATATTATCTGCTCTTGGTCCATGGAAGGTGAATGAGTAAACTTATGTAATAAAGGATTAAAATTTTAAAGGGTCAAGCTGGATTTATTCAAAAGTCGTCCTCTAATAGAACAGAAGCAGTTGTATGAATTAGCGTAATTAATGTGATTAGTTAGGCGGAAAACTTTAATTTTTCATTATTTTTCAAAAATAAAAATAAAGAAAATAAAGAATTATCATTTCGTCCAGTTCTAATAAATTTTTTAAGACTAAATATGACTGAAGGATTCATTTTATTATTCATTATTGTAAAATATTTATCAACAATTAATTGATTAGTAAAATTAAGTGTTTGATCATTTAAATAATATTTAATATTTGGATCATTATATTATAAATGGAGTATATTTTTCTCATTTTTTGAGAAATAATGTATTATTGACCTGCTAAGAGATAGGAACGGTCTCTCATGAAAATTTTAAATTCTCATATTTTATCTATTTTTATATAATTTTTTATTAATAACTTATTTTCATCTCTTCTGAATTATTATAAGTTTATCCCCTAAAATATTAATTTTGATCAATAACATGAAATTATTTTCGATCTTGTTTATATTAAGTTTATTCTTATTCGTCCAACAACTTATCCTTGTCCTCCAAAACGACCAAAACTCTTCATGGGACTTGGAAACTCAAGTCTGTTGAAGAAGGAGAAAAAAATGTTGCTGAGAACAAACTCTGTTTCTGTTCCTGTCTCTCCCTCTGACACTCTCAGAATGTACTTCCAGGTATGGGTTTTTGTTTTCACTTGCTACTTAATTATGAAAAAAGTTCAATTTGTTTTTCATTAACTAAGGGGGAATTGTCATCATCTTTGTCAAAGGTTGCTTTAGATAATGCTGGATTTTGAACTTCTTTTTTTGAGTTTTGCTTAGATGTTTATCTATTTGTTACTGAATTCTGGAAAAATGTATCATGTTTCATAGTAGTGCTTAAAGAACTCCACTAGGGGTGCATCTTCAATTACTTATTGCATATAATTTGAATTCTTGAAATTAGGCAAAATCGGTTCCATTGACTAGTTTTTGCTTGAAATTGTATATTTGTCTGCAAATTTTTTCCCTTGGAACTATTCATTCATAGGTCACTGACAATCAATCTTGATTGTTTGAAGGCGGATGTAATGTTGAATGAAGCTGAAATTCCAAAGGTGAGTAAGGCATTAGAGGTATATAATCAACCTTTTGACTTTCAAGCAAATTATAGCAACATTTATGTTTTGCAAACAAAAATGATAATTTTGACAGGCAACTTGGTAGATTTATCTTCAGATTAAATGAAGGGGATGAATCTAACTTCTTACTTTATTCGGTGTCCCGATCATAGTCCAGTGTTTCACTCGATCCCTTAGAAAATGGCTTCTTGCAGAGAAAAAGATTTCACATGGTTGCCTTGTGTTATCTCTCACCGAAAAGTAAAAGAGAAAAATCTATAATCATATTGCTGTTTAATTGTACTACTATGTTTCTGTCGATATTATTGATGGCAGGTTCTTTGATTTTGTTTAGAGTATATACTATAATTGAATCTTGTTGAGTTAATCGATCGACGAAATTGGCCAAGAGGGGGGTGAATTGGTAATTAAAATTTTGGTGGAAGCTTTTGAAGAAAATTGAAAGTAATTGCACATCGATTTAGAGGGGTTCGACTTTATTAACCAAAGTCTACGTCCACTACCTTAGCTATTCACACTAAGGATTTTCCAAAAATTCACTAATTTGTCTTTCTTTTGAGGACAAAGAGTAACCTTACAAACCCTCAAGAATTATACCCCAAATTCTTGAGAATACTCTCTCCCAAATAGAACAATACAAATTTTGCAAACTTACAAGGAAATCCTCACAAGGTAGATTGTTTGCACAATTCTAGAACAAAGAAAAGAACACTCAAGAATGAATACAATTAAGCACAATAAGTGTTCTTGAAAGCAAAATGAATATTGAATGAAAAATAGGCTTGAAATGCTCAAACTTGAGGTTTGATGCTTTCTATTTGATTCTCTCTTGATTCTAGTTGCTTGATGTTTCTTGTTGTTGATCAATGGCTCCTAAGATTGCTTAAATACACCTTGAATCACTTCTGAACATTGGGGATGATTAGTGAAGATAATATAGCCGTTTTAGTGTGAAATCAATTAATAAAACAGCTTGGAGCGTGGGGGGAATCGGTACCCCTCTCAGGGAATCGATTCCCTAAGTGTAAAATTCAAATATTTCGACCGTTACACAAAGGGGGGGAATCGATACCCCTGGGGGGGAATCAGTTCCCTCCGAGCATACTAGAAATCTTGGAGCCAAACCATTCAGGGGGAATCGGTTCCCTCTGGGCAAGCTGTAATTTTTGGCTTTGAAATGGTTCGAAATACTTTGTAAAATTATTTTGAAATTGTTTTAAGATTAAAACTTAATTTTACACTTGAGTAAGGATTAAAAATGACTTTTGAATGATTTAGAGTAATGTTTTGATATTCGAATAATATATCGAATATACTTAGAAAAACTTTTGGAAAATCTTAAAATTTGTTTATCTTAATTTGTTATATCGAAATATTAAAATGTATTCAACAATCTCCCCCTTTTTGATATAACAAAACATTTTAGTAATTTTAAGATTTTGAAATCAATTACTCCCCCTTACTCTAACATTTCTCCCTTTTAAAACATACTTCTCCCCCTTTTGTTAAATAAACAAGGTTTTGAAATCATTTAGCCAATTGAATATAGTTTAAGCTGCTAAGATCACAATCAAGAGAAACGTTAGCCATTAGTTTCATAATCAATTCATAAGTAATGTGACATGGCAAAATTGGTCATATTGCTAAAATGATGCAATAAATTTAACTAAACCAAATATATAAATTCAAACATCCAAACAAATCCAAAGTTAAATAATCCAAAATATTCAAAATGTTGAAACAATAATCTTTTAGTTCAAAGTTTTTAAAGCTAAGCACATAATCAAATATCCAGATCAGGAGGAGGAAAACGAGCTCGCATAGCGGCCATTTCGTGAGTGAGTTCATTAATACGAGCGTTTGTTGCTTCATTGTTTGCACGCATCTCCCGAAGAATTTCTAATAGTTGAGCTCCCATTGTGGATAAATGGGATTCTATAGAGGTAAAGCGCGAATCCATTGTAGCATATCGGAAATCAAAAGTCTCCATAAAGGATTGAAAATATGGAGGCATTTGATGCGTTTGTTGTTCTTGCTCCTCGGGCTGCTCAGGCTCATCTTCGGCTTCATCGATGTCTCGCATTAACTGTTCAAGCTTGGGATCGTCGTCAGCTTCTGGTTGTGCTCGTGAATAACTAGCTCCCGGAGTATTTTCAGAAGATCGAACCCATTCACCGGTTTCCTTATCCTTAATCCATCCCGCTCTCGTTAAGGAAAGAAGATTAATTTGTCTCTTTAGAGGAAAGGAGGCATCTAGACCAACTCTAAGCCCGGCTTTAGAAAAATGATTACTCAAAATGCAACCGTAAACTAGAGATGAACAGAGTTTCTTGTTAGGAACAAGATTTACGGTTTCAACAATTTCAGCAAAAATGATCTGAGGTAGGTTTATTTTAATATTGTTTTCAAAACAACGTAACCACCAAATATCCAAGGCTCTAAGCGTAGAATAACGACCTCCGGATGGTCGAAACCACCAAGAAATCATTAGATGAAGAAAACGTTCATGAAGGTCTAAGACACTTGCACTATCCCTTCTTTTATAACGAGAACCTAAAATTTGTTTTTCATTTGAAATACCATCATTATCTAATCCGAATGCATTGGCTATGTAAGCCGAGTCAATATATAAAAATTGTCCTAGGAGGTAGGAACGAACTCCTATGGTTTCGGTTTTAGTTCGATTTTTAACACAAACAGCATTAGAATAAAAGATACGAACGAGTTGATGGTAGACAATGGGTTCAAGTTCAAAGAGTTTGTCAAATTTCCACTCTTGTAAAAGAGGAAGATATTTAAAATTAATATCTAACATAGCTTGACGAGAAGGGATACGTTCTTCTCTAATTTTGTAAGAGTCGAAATATTGATAATACCAAAAACGATGATTTCTAGGACCAGGATGATTGAAGCAGGAATTTTGGATAGTTATATTGGGATCAGGATTAGGAATTGGATTTTCAGGAATAGGAGGAGGATTTGGAGGTGGATTTGGTTGACGGTGTGAGCGACTAGATGAAGACCTAGCACGTTTAGGATTGGACATGGTTTAGTAAAACTGAATAGAATGGATAACCTGCAATTTAGAAAACAAATGTATGCAATTCAATCAATCCCAAACTCAATTGAGTCCTCAATATTTCAAGGTTCTCTAAATTAATCCTAATGGGCAAAGTTTTGAAAACTATTAAAAAATAAGGTTTTGAAAAACAATATATGTATAGTTTTCATAACAACAACATAATTCAATCAAAACACAATAATTTGAATTTTTTTTATTATTTCGAAATTTTTTGAAAAATCCTTATGTTTTTATGAAATTAGTTGTAATATCTAGTTTCTAATCACTAAACAATCAATGTCCGATCACTATTTCTATCTAGAACTAATTAAAACTAGTCCTATGTTCAAAATCAATGAAAAAGAGAGTTTAGAAAATTTTACCTTGAAAGATGAGATTGAGTGGATTTTGATGTTGTTTGCAGGATTTTAATGATGCTAGCAGGTTTAGAAGATGATATTTGAAGTGAATTCCGATTAAAATCATTGATTTGAGGCAAAATGGAGATTTGAGAGATGGAGAGAGTGATAGGCGGCAAAGAGAGAAGAAGAGGGTTTTGAGTCAAAACCAAGGGTTATGCCCGTGTTATAACCAGTACCCCAGGGGGTATCAATTCCCCTGTGGGGGGAATCAGTTCCCCTTCAAAGGGGGAATCGGTTCCCTCATGGGGTATCGATTCCCTCTGTACTAAATTGCTAAAATCCGATTTTAATCACACAAAATGCTAAATTAATTTTCTCTAGTGGTATTGGTAACTCATATATTGAAAATTAATCATGTTCAAACAATCAAATTAATCTTTAAACGATATTTGAACATAAAATTAATTTTTCATCATAAACTCCCCCTAACTAATAGCAAGGAATGCAATAAAAAATTAGCATTTTTTCATTTAGTCTTAAAAGTGCTAAAACTATTTTAAACACTAAGTGAAGATAGGTCAGTTAAACCTAATTCTCTCCCTAAGTGTCCAAAATCTTTCTTTGTCTAAAGGTTTTGTAAAGATATCCGCTAATTGGTGCAAAGTATCAACAAATTCTAGAACTACATCTTCCTTAGTGACATGGTCTCTAATGAAGTGATGTCTTATTTCAATGTGCTTAGTTCTAGAGTGTTGGATGGGATTTTTAGTGAGACAAATAGCACTAGTATTGTCACACTTGATAGGAATAGTACCTACTTCAATTCCATAATCAAAAAGTTATTTCATCCATAAAACTTATGCACAACAACTACCGGCTGAAATGTATTCCGCTTCAGTGGTAGATAATGCAACACAATTTTGTTTCTTTGAAAACCAAGAAATCAGCATATTTCCAAGGAATTGGCAAGTACCGGAGGTGCTTTTCCTATCTAATTTGCATCCTCCATAATCCGCATCAGAAAAAGCATGCAAGCTAAAGCTAGAGTCTCTAGGATACCAAAGTCCTAAACTAGGAGTGTCCTTAAGGTATCTAAAGATTCTCTTAACAGCTAGTAAATGTGATTCCTTAGGACATGATTGAAATCTAGCACATAAGCAGACACTAAACATAATGTCCGGGTCTACTTGCAGTTAGATAAAGCAAAGAGCCAATCATTGACCGATATAATTTAACATCTACACATTTACCTCCTTCATCTAAGTCAAGCTTTGTTGAAGAGCTCATTGGAGTGTCATGAGGTTTCCTATTTACCTAGTCCAAATTTCTTGAGCATATCTTTGACGTACTTAGCTTGATTGATGAAGATGCCATCTTTTCTTTGCTTGATTTGGAGTCCCAAGAAAAATGAGAGCTCCCCCATCATGCTCATCTTAAACTCACTTTGCATTAGCTTAGAAAATTCTTGGCAAAGAACATCATTAGTAGAACCAAATATTATATCATCAACATAAATTTGAACTACTAATAAATCTTTACCTTTATGCTTTAAAAACAATGTAGTGTCAACCTTCCCTTTTGAAAAACCTTTTTCAATTAAAAAAATTGACAATCTTTCATACCAAGCTCTAAGAGCTTGTTTTAAACCATAAAGAGCTTTTGTCAATTTAAGAACATGATCCGGAAATTTTGAATCTTCAAAACCTGGAGGTTGTTCCACATACACTTCCTTCCTTTATAAAACCATTTAAAAATACACTTTTAACATCCATTTGATATAATTTAAATTCATGAAAACATGCAAATGCTAATAACATTCTAATTGCTTCCATCCTAGCTATGGGAGCGTATGTTTCATCATAGTCTATGCCCTCTTCTTGAGTATACCCTTGAGCAACAAGTCTAGCCTTGTTTCTCACTATATTACCACTCTCATCAAGCTTATTCCTAAATACCCATCTAGTACCTACAGTAGATTTATTACTAGGCCTTTCAACTAATGTCCATACTTTACTTCTCTCAAATTGATTTAATTCTTCTTGCATAGCCATAATCCAATATTCATCATTTAATGCTTCTTTAATATTCTTAGGCTCTATTCTTGAAATAAATGCAACATAATTACAAATATTTCTAAGAGAAGATCGAGTTGTTATCCTTTTGGATGTAAATGTTTTGTTTTAAACAACGGTAAAGAAAACCTTGGCAAATTTGATGCTAAAAGTGATGAAGGAATTTTTTTGGGTTATTCCTTAAATTCTAAATCTTATCGAGTATTTAATAAAATAACTTTAGTTGTAGAAGAGTCTATATATGTTGTTTTCGATGATAATCCCCTTCCGAGGAAGGATTCTTGTGTGAATGATGATGTAGTGTTATAAATACAAATGATGTGTTAGACATGACGTTGGAGAACCATCATCAAAGGAAGAAACGAAAAATGAGGAGAGTAAGGGGGAGTAATTGATTTCAAAATCTTAAAATTACTAAAATGTTTTGTTATATCAAAAAGGGGGAGATTGTTGAATATATTTTAATATTTCAATATAACAAATTAAGATAAACGAATTTTAAGATTTTCCAAATGTTTTTCTAAGTATATTCGATATAATTATTCGAATATCAAAACATTACTCTAAATCTTTCAAAAGTCATTTTTAATCCTTACTCAAGTGTAAAATTAAGTTTTAATCTTAATTTGTTATATCGAACTATTAAAATGTATTCAACAAATCTGATGGGATGATTTATTTGTTTGTTGCAGGGAGCCGAAGGCGTTTCTAACTTGAAGGTTCAAGTCCTTGAGGGTATTGGTACTGTTGAGGTGAGTGTTCTTTTTGTTGTTGATTGATATGTCTTGTATTTAAGCTTTCAGATCACTTCCCATGAGCACCTTTGATCTATCGGGTCATAAAACTCAAATTCATAGTTGAACGAACAAAAATTAAACAAAACAATCAGTCTGCTTTTCTTGTCTTTATTACAAGACCCTTTTCTCTAGGACTCCTAACTTTGATCCATGGTTCATTCATCGAGTTTTCTACATTCTATTAATTCATAGAGTTTTCCCGTCTTTATTCCGTTCTTTCTCAGTTAACTAAAAAGACGACGGTCCAAGCTACCGGAGTGGCATCCAATTTGGTGGAGCTCATACAGGGTGCAGGATTCAAGTTACAAACATTGAATTTGAGCTTCGATGATGAAGAAGACATTCTTGCATAGATGTCGTATTTAGATTTTGAAAAACTTGTCGTTGAAGTTCTCTGGCTCTTTTCTTTTGATTCATTATGGTTTATCTTTTCTTCTAGTAGTTTATGGTTTAGGTTAGGAAAAATCAATCTAATTTTTGTAACTGATGCCAGCTTCCTTGTGTGAATTTCAGGGTTTAATGCCTTTTATTCCTACGCATACTCACCCAAATTTTATGGAGATGCTGGGGAGATGCTGGCAACAGGATCCATCTTGTAAACCCGAATTCGTTGAAATTTCAAAAATGTTGGAAGACTTGGCCAGTAGATAGAGGGAGGTTGTAATAGATCATCATTTGCTTATGCTTTCCATTAAGAAATGTCCAATAACCTTGAAAATGGTTGCAGACGGAGAAAAATGGGAGGAGTTGCAGAAGTTAAATCTCCAAGAAAATTTGGAATGGCTTTTAGGTCAGGAATCCAGCCAAATGGCATTTTTAGCTTATATTATATGCATACTAATTTATTTTTCTTTCCATATGTGGACTTGAACTCAATATTTTCGAAGTAATGAATATATTTTAATGTTTATAAATTTTAATTTATTTTGTTGTTAAAATTTATGGTGGTTGTTATTTATATAAAGTTACATGATATTAAATTTAGGTGATGTATAGGAAGAATGTAATATGCAAAATATCAATTAATTTTAGCTAAAGAATGGTAATTAGGCGTTTATATCCAATAAACGCCGCTATATATCTGACCTTTTGCGGCGTTTGTATCCAAAAATGCCACTATATAACTAACCTTTTGCGGCATTTTTTTCCAAAAACCCGCTATAGATCTTGACCTTTTGTGGCGTTTGTATCCAATAACGCTACTATATATCTACCCTTTTGCGGCGTTTTTGGAAAAAACACCGCTAGAGAACTCGACATTTTGCGGCGTTTGTATCCAAAAACGCCGCTATAGATCTCGACATTTTGCGACGTTTGTTCCAAAAACGCCTCTATAGATCTTGACTTTTTACGGCGTTTTTATATCACAAACGCCACCAACATCAGCTGTGCTGGTATGGGCGGTGTTTTTACTATCGCCGTGAGTGCTTTTAGCGACGCTTAAAAACGCCGCTGTAGAACTAAAAAAACACCACTAAAACTCTATTTTCCTATAGTGCCACTTCGATCGCCTTAAATCTCTCTGTGATGATATCAATCGCCTCAGCTCTCTGGAACCATAGTCATAGTATTAAATTGTGGTTTTAGTGTATGTCGCGGATGCGATTGCAAGACACTACGGACGTTGTGTAACGCACAACGGCTGCTGCGGCGTGATTTGTTTCTAAAGAATCACATTATTTCTGAAACATTATATTTATACATTTTACATTCGTATTTAAATATTCTAATATTAACTATTGTTTAATGGCATATTCTTATAGTCAATCTTCAATTATTATATAAAGATGCATTATAAGTTAAATGTTTGTTAATATTTGATATTAGTTTTTTGTTAAGTTAAAATATTCAAGTATTTGTCTATGTAATTTTATATTTCGGGCAATTTAGATGTTCGTTGTAGCGTTGTTGCTGTATCGCGACACAATTTTTTGCCTATTGCAGTGTTACGTAACAATTTTAGACTGCAAAAGTTGTGATGTGATTCCTTTATCGCGTTGCTCTAATGTTTCATGACCTCTAAAATCATTATGATGCAGCTGTTATGTCACGTTGCCGACGCAATTTAGTACAATGACCACAGTAGTTGTCGCCATCGAGCTCAACATATCGGCTGGGATGCCTTCGGGAGGATCGATGCTTTAATAAATAACGCTGGCATTAAAGGTACTCCATTTTTTTTTCAAATTTTTTATGTTCTTTAATTAGTTTTGCACGATCACACTTGTAGTAAAATTAGCAGGGTTTCAATTACTTCCTCCATTGTTCATTTTCAACAGAATTGAAAAAAAGTATGTAAGCGAAATAAATTGTTTTGGGTAAAGTAAACAAATTGTCCCCTGATTATAGGGTGCTACTTTGTTGAGTCCCCCTGACCATTAATAATTATAAAATGTTTCCTTAACTATAGGATGTTACTTTATAGTCCATCGACTATTAAATTTACAAAATAGTTACCCGACTATTTATATGTTTAAACTTGTCTTTTTTTCATTAAAAAATTTGGAAACCATTTGAGCTAGACGTTAACCTATTAACTGAGATATGATAAAATTTGATTCCAGAACTGTTTGAGTTATATTTTGTGGATCAACTCTTCGTTTACATTATGTCATCGAGCTATTGCTTGAAAGCAACGACAATGCCAGTAGACATTGTTAAAATATGCTTTTATCATATATCTGTCACCAGACAAACGTCCAAATCAAACTGTCATAATTTTTTTAATGAAAAGGAAAAGTTTTGAACATGTGAATAGTCGAGTGACCATTTTATAACTTTTAATAGTCGAGGGATTCAATAAAGAAATGTCATATAGTTAATAGACCATTTTATAACTTTTTAATACATAGAGGATTCAACAAAGTAACACCATATAGTTGGGGGATTTGTATACTTTACCCTTTTTTAAGCTTAATTGAAAAATAAATTAATAAACTATTTCAAAATATGTATATAACGTTTTCTCTATTATTTTTAAAGGTGACAAATGGGTCATTCGGAAAGGGTTTTGTTCATGTCATTTTGGGTTTAGACTTAATTTGAGTTGGTTTGGGTCGAGTTATTTTGGGTTTCAATTTTATTCTAGTCTAAAGTGAGTCGAGTTGGGTTCGGGATAGGTCGGGTCATTCCAGGTTTCAGTTTTAATTGAGTCTATAGTAAGTCAATTTGATTCGGGTATCGAGTCGGGTCAATATCAAATCGGTTGATTTTCGGGTCGGGTCAGTATCGATCAATTATTTTCAGTTTGGGTCAACTTTAGATCTTCAAGTCAATTCGGGTTAAGTTGGGTACGAGTCAAATTAAATATATATAAAATTTTTGTAAAAAAAACTTGTTCTTTTTTTAAAAAAATCTTATCATTTGTGTTAAATTTCATTTCAAATTCAATTATTTTTTAGGGATTATAATTTAACTCAAACTCGACCTATAAGATATGTTAGACTTTGTGATTTTTTTATTAATCCAGAATGAAAAGTTCGTGGTACGATTAATTTAAGAGAAAATAACCTCAGTGACCGAAAATGCCTTATAATATACGATTTTAACCAACTTTTTTTGGATTTTCCAAAATGACCAAAAAATTCGCAACGCGATCTCAAATTTCGCAACCCAATTTCCAATTTCGCAACGCGAATCTGTAAATCGCAACGCAAATTTGTAAATCGCAACACAGAAATCAAATTCGCAACACAAAAGTCAAATTCGCAACACAAAAGTCAAATTCGCAATGCGATAGTCAAATTCGCAACGCGAAACACAATATTAATTTCGCAACATAAATGTAAACAATATTATCGCAAATCATAACCTAAAACCCTAAATCACAACTCAATCCCATCTCCATCTCTCACTCTCTACGGCGACATCTGTCCCCATCTCCGACGAAATCCGTCCCCATCTCCAGCGAAATTCATCTATCTCCATCTCTCAGAGCAACCCTCACAACCATTCACGGTCAGAAATGGAAAATCAACCACCGAGGGTTAGTTTTTTAATCTCTTATTTTTATTTTGAAATTTTTGTATTATGATTAGATGTTTCTTATATTGATGATAAATTTACTGGTAATTTCAATATATATAAAGATTAACCATTTCACTGAGATTGCTTAGTAAATTCATTCGGTTGCTGCCAATACTACTAAACTGTTTAGTCTTTAACCCTGTGAAGTTAGTATTTGTCTTTGTTTTGTCTTTTTGTTGAAGAAATGCAATTCATTCAAGTTTCAATTTGTAGAAGAATAGTTTTTGAAACTTAAATTCGCAACACGAAAATGAAAATCGCAATACCAAAATCGCAATGCAAAAATGAAAATCGCAAGGCGATTTTAGTTTCGCGTTGCGGTTTTCATTTTCGCGTTGCGAATTTAAGTTTCAGAAACTACTCTTATTCTGCAAATTGAAACTTGAATGAATTGCATTACTTCAACAAAAAGATAAAACAAAGACAAATACTAACTTCACAGTGTTGCTAATTTAAGTTTCAAGAATAAACTACTACTCTTTATGTTGTCCTTGAACCTGCACTAAACCTATATGTTATCCTTTTAAATGTTTATATAAGTGCTTACTTCTGGAATATTATTTGATACATTTTGTGAACTATGATGGAATAATGACTTGGGTGAATACCGTGCTAGTTTGAAACATATTTGGCTTTGTTTTCACTGTTTAATATCATGTTTGTTTATAGTATATAATTTGTAGTTTTTGGTATATCTAACTTGGTATGTTTATTGTTTTTGTAGAATTTTTTTCGGCTGCATTGACCTTAAGGAATAACTTAAGCCTAGCCACTAAAATTGTGTCGACGCTTACACCTCTACAAAGAAAATTGTTTGAGGATACTTGCTTCGGGCCATGGCTGAAAGTACAACATACGGGTGGAGATGCTATGTTGAAACATTTGTTTCTTCAGACCATGACTAACGATCTACCCGAGAGGATACAACGTGGTGATGAAGAGATATGGTTTCATTTTCCTCCGGCACTGGCGTATACTTGTTTTGGGCGGGAGGAGTTTTGCTTAATCACTGGTCTACGCTTCGGACACGATGAAGTAACCCGGTACACTAGTCATATCTCCCGCCCATCATGGTTGTCTTGGGTTTTTCCTGAGCTGGCAAAATCGAAGCCAAGTTTACACGTCGACGACTTGAAGAGATTATTTGTTAAAGATGGTTTTACTCGGATGGATGACCTTGATGTTGTCCGAGTATGCCATTTATTACTTTTGCATGCCGGCTTTTTAGGCAAAGAGGGCAGACAACCTATCTCTGAGGACCTAATATTATTGGTAGAGGACCTAAATGCATGGAACCTGTTTCCGTGGGATTCATATTTATGGAAAGCTACATGGAAGAAGTTGTCGTCTGTCTTTGAGGACCGAAAAAGTTTGCGGGGAGATGG